AAAGTCAAATCTGATGCATTTGGCTATTGTTTTAATGCAGATTATTTAGTACTCTTCCAGGTGCTGGCAGTCCACTTTAATATTGATGTATTGAGGGAATTAGTTTCATAGGTGTAGTTCTTCAGGGAATACACCCCATTTTATCCAGGAGCTATTAAAAAACCCCAAAACTGTCTATCCCTGCAGAGAAACTCCGTGTTGCTTTTCTACTAGATTCTGCTCTTTAGTGTGAAGAGAATGCCTAGACTCCCTTGAATTCTTCCTAGACAGATTTACAAGTTGTTCTAAAGACCATCTTAGTTTCCTAAAAAGTTGGCTTCTGAAATAGAACTTGGAATAACGGCTGTTCCCAAATATGGCTATGGAATGAGTGTATTGTTCACAGACATGGATGGGGAGATAGCGCTAACATTTAAGTCATTAAAAAAATTAATTATACTGTGAGTGGTTTTTGTCTAACTGTATGAGCATATCCAATACAACTTTAACAGCTGAAAAAAATACAGACCAGACCCTGGAAAACCTAATTAGGAGAGATTCTAAATGTACTAGAGTATGTGCTTGAGTGTTTGGGGTTTTTTTTCCAATTAATTTTCATAGTACCTGAATGGAATAATGTGTAGCATCCATAGGAGAAATTTTTATTGTCGTCATTGTTCTAAGTCTGCCTATCGCTTCTTTTTAACACGGTTACCCAGCTGACCTCTGACAGAGACAATCATCCTGCGATGTTAAGGGGCTGACTAATGTCAAAAAAAAAGCTACTTGCATTTAATTTTTTTTCCCCTAGATTTTTTTTCTTAGTGAATTTCCAGCAATAGTTCTCATGAAATTATAGCCAGAAATATCTTTCAGGTTTGTAAGGATCCAATTTCCTAACAAAACCAGCAATCTACATTTTATTGAATTTCATAGTCTGGTAACCACCAAATCTTTGTCGCTCTATTCAGCTACACAAGAAACACTATCAGCAAAGCAGGAAGTTGGATATTGGTGAAAGCAATGCAATCGTTAGGGTTATCTTCCACTGTGGGAGTGGTGCGTATGGTCATTGAAAAATAGTGTTCTGGGGTAGGGAAAACTTAATTTTTTTAAATTTTAGCCTCATTGTAGGCTTTATGACATACAGGGCAGGTTTGGGGAGATGAGAGCAAGAAATTAATCATTATCAATGTGTGAAGATAATAATGACAATATATTGAACAAGAAAACACTTCTGCTTCTCAGGATTATCTGCGTTATTCTATAGCCGTTCTCCCCTATGCCAGTTTCACTTCAAAAAAGCTCCTGTTCACAGTTTTTACCAAGACTTACTCATATCTTGCAAAGTGGACCTATTAAACAGATGCTTCAGTGCAGCGGTGGAAGATGGGTAAAACCAGCAAACAGACTTTCAGTTCTGTAAAACTTCTGAATATTACTAGTGTTTGGGGAGAATACTTTATACAGTATTAAATTGCAGTTGCTTTCAGTAGAGACTTTTGGAGAGGACTTGACAAACTCAGAAACATTTTGGTATTTTAGAACTTTTAAACTGTCCGGGAGGAGGGGAAAGGCAGTTAGAGAGGATACTGCGGATCATTGCTATTTTCTTTGTTATTGTTGCACCAATTGACTTCCTGTGTCCATCCTTTTGTCACATAATATTGGCCAGAGGTTTTGAAGTTTGAAGTGCCCAGTTCAAAGCAAACGTTCACATGAAAGGACATCAGCAAAAGCAAACACTGTATGTGTGAGAGGGAGGAGAGAATGCGTCAGTATTACTTGCTGATCTTCAGGCAGTTGGTAGAATCGGCTGGTTCTTGCCTAGTGATCGAGATTTCTGAACAAAACCAGCCGGATCGCTTGTGGGCTGTTAGGTACTGTCACTGCTGGCTGGGCTGCGCCAAGGGAGGCGGGAGGAGACTGCTGGCTGGGCTGTGTGCATCTTTCAATTAGTGCTCACAGGGAAAAGTTCTTCTTGGGCCCTGGCAGTGAACAAACTACCGATGAGCTGGTTAGAGGGGTGAGGGATGGGTAGCCCTGTGTGTTGGGCAGAGACGGCAAGTGGATGCTAAAAGGCATTTCTAGTGTCTGGCATTTTAAATTTGGGTAGCAGAAGCTATAAAAACTTTAGGGGTTTAATCTAAACACACAAGTCGTGGGGTTTTTTTTAAAAATACATATGTATCTTCATCACATATGTTATGGGATATCCTCATGTACAGGGAGAGAATGCACAGTCAGTAACAATAGAAATAGCTGGGTATAGCTGTCTCCATAAGAACGAACATCGATGCTGTGTCTATTGGAAAAACTCAACTTGTATTGCAACATCTCCTTTTTATATCAAGTCTTTCCATTACTGAGTTGTCATGCGTAATTTCATTCCATTGTAGATCTCTTTAGCATAGTTATTCCAATAAAGGTGATACCTAATTTGGACTCACGGTAAAAATGCAACAGATTTACTATACCAATAGTTTGCAGTAGGTGAAGGCCTCTTAGATGTGTGCGTGTTGTGTTGACTTTCTGAGCATGGTAGCATTAAGAAGGCTGCTGTGGCCAGACCGCAGCGCTGAAAGCCAGGTGAAAATTCTGTGGGTACCTTCTGAAGTGACTGCTGTAATGAAAGAGCAGAGATGCATAGGATAGGGAGCATGGAGTTGAAATGTGTTAGAAGAAAAGCAAAGTCTGACTTAAATGATCCAACATCTGGCAGTATGGTGGAAACCATTAATGAAGTTGTAGTATCTTTGCATTTGCCTGAGCTCACGGAGAGAAAGAAGCTGGGTTATGATTACGCGTTGAAAATAATCATGCAGATCACATCCCCCTGCTTGCTGAAAGGATGGTATGCTGTTTTTTTTCCGGGTGAAAGAGATTTCAGACAACCAGATATGAAGGTGTCATGAATCTTAACTGCTTATTTCAGTCTCCTTTTATAGGCAGATGGACCCTTGGAAAAAAAATAGCTGTAAGTTGGCAGCAGAAAGCTCGACTGTGTGAAGCAGAAAGCTTGACTGTGTGGGTTTTTTGAATATGCCTAATTCTGTCTCCAAGCTCAGTCAGGAGAGCTAGGGGACAGATGCCAGCAACATTTTATCCTAGAAAGGGAAAAAAAAGAACCCAAAAAAGTGTGTGGGATGTTGTGGATTTTTTTTTTTCCTTGAACCTGCATGATGTAGAAATGAGGACTACAGAGCCCAAGAGGGCTAACCCTTCTAATTGAACAAAGCAATGCAGCCAGATGTTTAAAGTATTTGGAAAATGGCTGTCGCAGTCATTTTCATGCTTTGCAAATAACCAGAGGTCTGAAATGGCTACACGGAAGTGGATTTTTTTCCAAGCATGACAAACCCGAGGAGAGTTTACAGGGATGCTGGGAGGAAGCAGTGGTTGCTGGTGTACAAGAGCTGCTTGTGAGATAGCTTTGGGCTATAAAAGACAGTTCTTTCATTATACAGGGAGAAATCTTTCGGGAAAGAAAAATGGTAAAAGGCTTGGGAGTGACCTGAAGAAAAGAAATGCAGTAGTAGCCAGTTGGCTGGGAGAGAATTGACACCATATTTGTGATAAAAAAGTATCATTCAGTTTGTGATTCAAAATCAGAAAATTTCTTAAGTAGTTAGATGATGTAGACACATAAGAGAACTGAACATATCTTCCATATACAGTAGACTTCTAGGTAGAAAGATGAGTTGAATTTTTAATATAGTTTAAACACTTGAAAGACTGAAAAGCTTTGGAGGCTGTTTGCTTGAAAACTGTCCAAGAACGCTTTGAAACGTACAGATCAGCAGCGGTGGGTCTGGCTACGTAGGGCAGTAGAACTTGGGATACCAGAGGGCAACTGCAAAAAGGTAGGCAGAAAGCAGCTGGCCTTTGTTACAAAAGGTTAGGACTGTTCTCTGAAAAGAATTAAGATACTTGCTAGGTATGTATATGATGTTTTCAACAAGGACATAAGTCAAGATGACCTCTTACATACTTGCTACTGAAGATGGAATTTTTTTGCTCAGAATCCTTCTGTTATCTCAAGAAATTATACACCGTTAGCCTTACTGCTATTTTAATTTAAAAATACGTACTTGGATGGCTAAAAGTACTGCTGCTTCAAAGCAAGGAAGAGATGCCTCAGTTTCAAGCCTTTCTTAATTCAGACCTTTCCTGATATTCCTAATTTACCCATAAAACTTTGCCTTCGGAGGGAGTTTGGTTTTAGTCAAGTGTGCGGATTTATGTGACAGTCAACCTTGGTGTGCTCCTAATGAAACTGCATATCCCAGAAGGCTGAGAAGACAGTGGGATGAGTGAATCCTGTCTGAAAGGGGGATACAGGATGTAAATTTGAGCCTCAAGGTTACAGCACCAGCATAAATATAGCTACCCAGCAGCATAACGGATTCCTTTCGCACAGTGACTGAAGTTCTGACAGGCATAAAGTCAGTGTTTTTTCTTCATTCCCATTTATATAGCTTGGCTATTTTTAAAGGATGATGCTTCAGTGATTTATTTCGTTTTCTTTGGAAGTTCAGTTGCGTAAACCCGAGGCCCGAGCGGGGCTTCATGCAGATGCGCGGGTGACACTAGAAGCGCCATATAATTGACTTTCAAGAGAGAGGCCCCTGGAGCGAGGGGCAGTGACTTCAGTGAATGTAGGACATTCTGCTCACGCAAACAGCTAAGTCTGTGTGTTCTAAGCATTATGGATATAAAAATAGTTGTCCAAGAAAAATTGTCCTTCTGAGTAACTCGGCTCTTCTGAGGGCCTTTTAAAGCTGTCTCTGCCATTGTATTAATGACAGCGACAGGCCTCTGAAAACCAGAAAGTGCATGAATTACCCTGATCGGGGATCGTGCTGCCACCTTAGGAGTCTGTTTGGTGGTCACTGATCTTTATATTTGCAAACAGGAAGGATCTTATTTTAAAGACACAGTGATAATTTAACTTGTGCTGGTCATTTGCTCAAAACCACGACTTTTCTTAAAGTAAAGGTACTTAACTCAAGTGACTTCAGATACACACAGAATGGGATTTTACACATGTTGGACAGAAATAAGAGAATCAAGCCACGACCAGAAAGATTCCAGAACTGCAAAGATGTTTTTGATTTGATCCTAACGTGTGAAGAAAGAGTCTATGATCAAGTAGTAGAAGGTAAGGACCTTGAACTGATATGCCAAGTTAACTTTGAGTGCTTTTTTTTTTTTTTTCCCCCTTCCCCCTCAAGTTCTTCACAAATCTGGAAACGTCTCTGTCTCCTCTGACTACCACTGCTGGAACACCAGCAGGGACAAGAGCTCACAGTCCATTGGCGTAGACTTTATGTACCAGAGAAGTGATGGCTGAATGCTTATTTCTAAAACATGCTGGTGTTGGCAGCTACACAGAATGTGTCTGTATAGCAATTTTAAGGGCTTACGTAAGGAAATAGCAAGCATTTGGAGAAACTCAAATACACGTTTGGTTTGAAAATGCTCATGGATCTAGAAAACTAGCAGGTCGTATGTGATGAGCGTTTTTTCACCCTGGGTTGATGGAGAAACAAAGTCCAAACTGTCTTCCTTATGCAACTTGTCTTCCACAGAGAAGGGAAGGGTTCCTGTGCCCTACCAAGCAGTTTATCCACAACAAATACCACCAGTACAGGTGGAGAAACTCTTCTTGAGCACGGTTAACACTCTGCAAATGCGCTAGGACTTCATCCTTAAATGAGTCAGTGAGATAAGCCAGAAGAATCTCAGTTGGGGATTGGGTTCTGCATGAACACAATCCAGCAAGCTTGGTGTGAACTCAGTGGAAGTCCTGGGGTTTCAGCAATGACTCAGGGTTCTCCACCCAGGAGCTCTCCCTGGAAATGCTGGATTCAGGCTTATGTGAGGTTTAAGGTGTTTCCTTTACCTTGAAAGACCAGCCTCCTGCATTAGTATCATACAGATAATTTAAAAGGCTGCTGCCTTGCCTTTTCAGTCCTCAGTGGTCATGTCACGAGCAGTACAGAACATGATACGTTTGGGCTTCTGCAAGCGGAGCAATTAGTGTTCCGAATCTTAAGTGTTTGAAATGTATTGGTAAGTTCTGAGAGCAGCTGCCCTGGTACTTGAAAAAGACCAGCCTCCTGCATTAGTATCATACAGATAATTTAAAAGGCTGCTGCCTTGCCTTTTCAGTCCTCAGTGGTCATGTCACGAGCAGTACAGAACATGATACGTTTGGGCTTCTGCAAGCGGAGCAATTAGTGTTCCGAATCTTAAGTGTTTGAAATGTATTGGTAAGTTCTGAGAGCAGCTGCCCTGGTACTTGAATGGATC